ACACAGAGAAATCATTTGACAGGAAAAAAATAATACCTAATGCCCAGAGGAGCAAAAGCAAAACAAAAAACTCCTAGCGAGCACCAAAGGTTTCTAAATCCCTGAATCTTGCTGATCCCGAGGCAAGTTACACTCCGGAAGGCTTGGTTATGTCAGCCAGCTAAGTTCACATTTTTACACTAACTTGAGCTCGTCACTTGCAGGGTCTTGATGAACCCATGAAGAAGTTTCTGGAGTAAGTTGCATCTTCCTGGGGTTAGTGATACTGCCTTGGCACATTCCCAAGACATCCTACACAGGGCCCTGCGAAAAACACAAACTCAGCCAGTAGAGTCACGATTTTCCTAAGAAACATAAATTCCCATTAGTATTATAGAACGTAAAATAGGATGCTGCAAATTATTAAAGAAATTACCTTGTGTAGGAAATCATGAATGAGTCTCAAGAGATGCTGTGTTTGATTAAATCACATGTTTTCAGGCACAAAATGCACATATGTAAACATGTTGCACACATATTCCTTAGCATTAACAAGCTAGTACTTCATGTAGCGTTCATATCCTTTCTATCTTCTGACAGCAAAAAACACTTGATATCCATGAGTTCAAATGTAATTTTTTTTCCATTATATAGTTAATGCATTACCACTCATGTCACAATTAACACGAGTATATACATAAATGTGCATATATATGGATATTTATTTATTTTTGAGGTATAAATCTAGCAAAATAAATGTTTGCTCCACAACCCCCCCTTTCCTTAAATGTTGTGTGTGACGTCACCAAGAATATGAAAGTTACCTGAAGATTTCCTTCTCACTTATCTTTATTTCTCTGAAGATTCAGGCACGCAGCATGGAATTCAAACAATCTGGTATGGTGGAAGCAATTTGTACATAACTATTGGGGAATAAATACAATGAGGTATCCTGTTTCCCTTGTAAATCATGATTATGGCCTATCCTAGCGCAAAGTCTAGAGAGTAATTTAAAAATAAATAAATAGAACCCAAGAGTATCTCTATTCTTTTATTCAAAGTTTATTAAAATACAAGCATGGTAAGAGCACACGTACCACTCAGCACCATTATAGAGCAACATTCCTTCTATTGGTCATCGCCATCACATTTCTCTTTCTGTAACTGAGAAGCAGATATACACATGTACATTCTCACCACATTGACCCAGTACTCTTAGCATCATGTCCCGAATATTCTCCTTGCTGGGGAGACAACGATGGGGAGAGACAGACAAATGTGACTATCTCCAACCACTGACTGAGCCGAGGACTCTTTCGTCAGCAGTTATCATTTGCACACTGGTCAGCTCTGCACATCCAGTCTCCCTCTTCGGGCACCTGATTATTTGGGCTAGTGAGTCTTGTGGCAATGTGATGCAAAACTAAACAAAACTGGCCAACATTCCCTACCCAATATCTTTTAATTGCTTTGGTTACAAAGTCCTGGATACTTATGTCTTCAAATCCACTCCCTACCCTCCCCCCAAATTCTAACACGTATAAAAACCACACTGAACCAGTGACATGGTCTGGAGACGTCTCAACAGAATTTTATTTATTTCCCATCACTTTCTGTGGGCTTCTTTCATTTCTATGTTTACCTGTTGGCTTTTTTTGGTGGGGGTGGCATTGGGGGGAAGGGGAGGTTTGAGCCAAAATAGTGACTTCATTAAACATCTCCTGGATCTCCAAAGCCTCAGTAAATAGTCAGGCAACTCCCTGGAGCTCTGGGGTTGCTGGTTAAGTCAGGTAGCAAGCCCAGACTTGCATGAGTAGTCTTGTTCGGCTATCTGTACATGTTTACTTTCTATGGGTTCAGCCTCACTTTGAGACAGAGCTGGGTCTGTTAAGTCTGACACCTGGATTCTGGTGCTATCCGGAACACAGGGAGTAAGGAAGTAGCTCAAGGTTTTGCACATCCTAACGGCACGTCAGCACACTTTCTCCAATCATAAGAAATTTTTTCAGATCGTCCCTAACTCAATAATCCAAGCTTCAAAGTCCTGTGCTTCCTAGTCAGCAACTTTCTGGTTCGCTCAGCTGGGGTCCTCTGCTTTCACAAGAGGTCATTTGATTCAACAAAAGTAGGGCCATTCACCAACCAGGGATTGATATTTCCATGCTATTCTGGATAAACATATCAACTGTGGCCTTGAATTTCATTTGTAAGGCTAAGGACTAAGCTATAAATTAACTAGCATATAACCAAATACATATTAGGTCTTATTTATGAGAACCATTTGAAAAAAAAAATAAGCTCATGGAATTACAAGCTCCATTGTCCATCTCTACTCCTAAGAGGCTTGACACCGGGCATGTTCTCAAAAGCTCAAAATTGCTAGGAGAGGTTCTCATTAATCCATCATTGGGACAGAAACCAGGTCGCTGCATGTTCCCCCTTGCAATGGCTTTGTGATTCTAATGAAATTTCTGTTACAAATTGCCAGGGACCAGGTGAAATGAGTGTCCGAATGCATCTTCTTATGACTAACCAAAGTCCTATAAATCAGTAAATTACCTTGCTGTTGACATATCTCATAGGGCATTCCAAGGGCACCTTGCGACCACATGAGACTCTTCCAAAGGCATAAATACTGTCATTAACCTACTCTTCCAGTAATTTATGCAGCAAGGCAGCACCCATGCATGACTTCCCCGTATTTCATGATTTTTATTCAAGAACCCAGTGGTGAAATACACTCCAACAGAATGAAGGCTGTTCGGCCTTTCTTCCCTGCTTGGTCAGAGAACAAATAATTCCTGATTAAAAGGTGAAAGATTTAACTAAAGCAATACTCCATTTAGAAGTTGCTGTTACCAAAACTTAAGAATAAAACCCACAAATGAAGATATGGGATCAAAGTTCTAAAAGCAGAGTATCACAGAAGTTAAATGGGTGTCACTTTAGTTGTACAAAGCAAGAACAATGGTGAGCTTGTCTCTAGGGAAGTCAGTTACATTTTAATAACTGTATAAAACACTTCTAAATTAGTGTGCAGGCATTTCATTCATGTCCATTTAAGAAAGTCATTGTCAATTACACTATCATCCTCTCTAGATAATAAAATAAATTATGGAATACTTCCAAGACATAAACTTTCAAATATTAGATTTTTGAATAAACCTAGGTACTATAATAATATCTAAAACTTCTTGGAAACTTTTTCAATCATAGGCAAGCTAATTCAGCTTAAAAGGTTAACCTGATAGCTCCATGTAAACAATCCATTGGAGCATGAGGAGGATGTATAGGTATCAAGGAAAAAGAACTCAGTATTAAATTAGCTATAACATTTATATATGCATATATAAATTTATAAATTTCCACTTGTGAGAGTAAGAACTACAAATCTTCAACAGAGCAAACTTTTTCAAGGGCATGATTAGTGGACAGATATTGACAATCTCTTTTTTTTCAGCATATCACCTAAGCACTGATTTTTGCCTATCTCAAATAATGAGCTCTTACTAATCATATTCAAGATGTATTCAAGGAATTTGTGAAATTTATTTGAGACAAATATGCTAGCTCATTACAGAGTTATCACCCTGATGTCACTGAACCATTCCATATCTTGTAGGATTCCTGGGTTTGTCAGTTCACTTTTGCCAACAGTCCTTCAACCACCTTTCCTCCAGTAGCTTCTCCATATTCTACTGGACAAGATTTTCTCCCTGATAGCCTCACCTTTAAATGTTTCCTTCCTCTGTCTCATTTTTTTGCTGCTAGACCATCCTCAGGGAGCACTGCCTGCGCACACACACACATGCACACACACAACTTTCTCTTACTTTAAAATACAGCACAACTAGCTGATTTTTTCCATCACCCTTTCCTCAACATAACCTAGCACTACCTTAGGCAAACCTCATCCCCCCACCAGCTTCTCTGACATTCCGTTCCTTTATCACACGCATTTAACAAAGGGAAAGTTCAAGGACAAAGGCATGAGTGTGCTGCAACCAAGTTTTCATTTCACTTCTCTAGGATAACATGCAAATCTCCACACTAACTTAAACATGAAAGTCAAGGGGCCACTGGGAAATGTTGACTGCAAACAATTAGAGAATCTGAAACAAGATAGTCTCAATATTATTTTCCAATAATTCATTAGATAACATCACATATTCAAAATCCACTTTGCTTCCATTTTTCATAGTTTAAAACACTGAAAGTCTTAGATGAGAGTCTGGGGCATTAAGGATTATTATCTAAACAATATACCAGCTAGTCAAATGACAGATCACTACTTTAGTTATCTTTTCTTTTTTTTTTTTTCAAAAACCATTTTGTTCTTGCATATCCAGTTTGGACTTTTTTCTCATTTAAGAATGTATCCTTTCTTCGATTACTTTCATGTCATTAACATAATGGACATAAGTATCTTTGTATCTTTATATACAACCACACATGAGAATTAATAGTCTCCTCTACTTACACAAAACATGTGATATTTTGTGTTGATCCATTCTTTGGAGTTTATTATTTTTAGAGATTATAGACAGACAAAACTACACTGTCTTTTTAAAAGATAAACATGATATGCAGCATTTTAATCATGTATTGCATGGATCTTTGATTACTAGTACTTAGCCAATGGAACTAAATAAAACACGATCCAGTTCCAAATTCAAAGAATATTCAAAGAATATTCAACTTAACCAATTTAGAAGGCATCCAAAATTACTAATCACAATTACGTGAAACTTCATCTTTTTGCATTTTGCAACAGAATAAAGCTTATTTGTTTTTTCATCTGTTATTTTTTATTACTCACCTACTTTCACAGAAAAACAGAGCTATAGCTGAATAACCAAGACACAAGCTTCCCCCAACAGCCAAGAAAGTGAGTGTGTGGAATGTATGTGTGAGTGTGTGTGTGTGTACCAAGTGTGTGCCCATACTTATAAGACTGAATACAAACACTCAGATGGTCTGGAAAACATACGTGGGAAATGGCATCATAAAAGGCTGTATACAGATTCCAACATTTTTTGCAGCTAATTAAACTTGCCTTTTAAGCTCCATTTTCGCCATCTTTTTGGAGCTTCGGTGTGCCTTCTGCGAGCTTCAGCTCAGCATTCAGCGATAACAAGGCTATCCAAGACCAAGAGCAAGTGGGGCCACACTGTGATTGTCAGAGAGAGAACACACTAGCCTCACAGCACCCACTAGCTTTTCCTTTAATAGATAGCACAGAGTAGAATTCACCCACTGAAAGTATACAATACCACATATATGTTTCAAAAAGTGATTGTCTCCACACAAAAATGTAATATTTGTTTTCTTTTTCAATCTCCCTTTTCCCCCTCACACTATCCTACAGCGTAGGTTAAAATACCCTGTTTTCCTCTGTGGTTCCTCTCTGCCCCTGTGAACTGAACTCCTTTATCTGGACTTGTGCATATTTGTTTCATGGCTAACAAATTAGCATCACTCCCTCTAGCTTCAAGGTGCAGCCGTCATGCTCACTAACCTTCCTGCCTCTTCTAGCTTGTAGGCGTGGTTTTCTTCTAGCGTTTTTCTCTCTGCCTGGAAAGGAACGGTGAGAATTTGGATGATCATTCTAACCATTCCGACCGAAGCATCTTGGCATCCACAGTACCCTCATGCGTCAGGTAGTCTGACAAAGGGACTGGCACAGCCACAAACCACAAGACAAGAAACTACTTAACGCATGAAATACCAAGCTCCTAACCACATGGTCTGGCTTCGTGGGTCAATTATCGGGAAGCATTTGGGAATTTTCCAGCTGGGTTCTAGCCATGCTAAATAAAGCCTAGGTACTGAGCTTTATGTTCACATAGATGGCAGTTTTCCTAATGTAGCAATTATTCAGATGAGGTTTTTTGTTTTTTTTTTCCCCCCCAGTTCCCAAACCATGAGTCAGCCATATCACTCCTTCCCCAGGGTACAGTAAGCACAGGCTGAATCAGGAATGTCCCCTCTTGGGCTTGGGATCTTCTCGGTCACGAATTTTCAATAAGAGGTGACAAAGCTACCACGTAACCCAAGGTCATCCGAATGGTGAACGAAGTATTGAGATGTTACCAGTTTATGTTCTTCCTTCAGGTAAACTCCAGTCTTTCAAGTGAGGCCATGGATCTCAGTGGATATAGTGGATTCAGCTTTTAATTTCCTTTACAATATTTCTTATTAAATAATAAGCTCTATTATCATCATACCTTTAGCCAGCTAATCTAGATTCATCTCTTGTTGAAATTCTTCTCCAGCCAACGCCGGACTTCTTGGAGATTATAGCAGAAGGGGCCCTTTCCTCCCAGATAAGCAATTTTCTGTCTCTCTACGATGCACACGCGTTCAAAGGCTACCCCGTAGGCTACGTTGGCGTTATTGTCCATGCGGTCAGCCACAACTCGGCACTGGGGCGGCAAGGAGAAACGCTCCAGGAGCTGGTGGGCTGCTGCGCATCGCTCTTCCTGGTTCCGATGCTTCTTCACCTCAAAAGATAACGAGGAGTCCCCAGGCACTGCCCAGCCGTCTGAAGGATGTGCCTCGTCAATGTAGACCAGCAGGAAGTCCGCCACGGACGAGAACTCTTCCACCAGTTTGCTGAAGGCTGGGAGCTGGCTGGTGAAAGGAGGTCAAGTGGCTGAGCCAAAGTTGACCACCAGTGGGCGCTCGGAGCTGGCAAAGTCAAGGAGGTGGCATTCCGCTCCATCAGCAGTCTTGTCCCGAGCCCCGTTCCCGCTACTGTCACCTCCTTCAGGACTGGTGACACACACCACACTGGAATTGGGGGCATCCTCACCCAATTTTACCTGATGGTGACAGAAAAAAGAAAGAACAGGGAGAAAATGCCAGATTAAACACGCTGCCACTTCCATACAATTAGTTCTAACAGAATGTGAAATTTCTGTGAAAACAAGTGGTAAACATATCATTGATTTGAACAAAACTCATGGCAGGTTAACATAAAGAAATGCTCCTACAAGGATAAAAGTCTTTTTCATTGTGTATAGTATCAAAAGGTAATTATTTTCATCACTGAAGTTAACTCTTCATAATTGAGGCTGAACTAACTTCCTATCTCTCCTGGCAATGCCTAATGCACATTATAAATACATGATTTATTGACTTCATCATAAAAGACGGAAATGAATGATCTACTTCAAGACAAATTACCTTGGTTTGGGGAGAAAATGCCTCATTTTGGACTCCAAAATACTCGGGCAGGAACCTTATTTTCTCTCATTATGCTAAATCCCTTCATCTGTACCAGTGGACCATGGTGTTAAGAGGCTGTGTACATGGGTACAGTGTGAGAACCTGGCTGCCACCCTGTGCAAGCAGAGTTATTGCCATCTGACCTGGTCAGTGTGTCAGCTTTCCCATGGTTATCGAAAGGTAACACAGGAAAAGAACCCTCAAACTTCAAGGTATTCTATGGGGAAATGGCAATAAGCCATAAATTTATTTTGATGTGAAAAATTTGAAACCCTGCGAGTATATATTTCATAAAACACACTTGCCACAAACTTTTTAAGGATGCCTTGAGCAATCGGTCAGTATGTGGATGTGTACAGCTATTATCAGATACCATACCGACATATTAAGCAAAGTAGTATTTCCCTGGGCAATTCTGTGTTTTAAAAATGTCCCGAGAAGAAAACATCTCCCCTGAACTTTGCATTGCTGCTGTTCTGTTGTGGTTCTGTTACCAGAACCCAAAAATTTCTATTATCAAAACACAAAAACATCATTCCACTTTGGTCAGTTTCTTATTTCCTATATGCTTTTGTATGATATTCTGTCTAATCTAGGAAATCAGTAACCATTTACTTTCCTATGACTTATTAACAAGCTCCTCTGAATTACAAAACATTCAGGCAGAAGAGGCGCAGAAAAAAAAATTATTGCACATGTTTTTTAAATCACTGAACATAGAATGAATGTTTGAGGCCTTTGGACTCTCAATTGGTAACAAAAAGCAAGCAGCTTGAAAGAGCCAATTACTTCAGTTTGAGTTAATACAATTGACTCTTCCCTTAAAATGGTTTAATCAAAGCCAATAACACTTGGGACAATTTACGACAGTGCAAATGATTTTTACATACTATCCTTAATATTACAAAGCCCTTCCAATTGGATCGACTTATTTCTCTCATATAAATACAGCTGCATATTACACTGCCGTTAATTGAAGTCACTTAGAAGTGAATTGTTAAAGATGCAACAATCCAAAGTGATACAAAACACCCAAGGGCTTTTATTCCGAAGCTACTGTTTAATGTCAATGCACTAGTCCTTTTAAGGGCTCAGAACTGAAGCTCTTTCAGTTCTGAAAAATCCCAGCAAAGGGGGGTTGGAATCATATGCTACTACTTTTCTAATATTAAAATAATAACCTTCCTTAGCAAAGGAAGCTGTTTGTGTGACTTTAAAAAATGATGTTTTTTCAGTCATCACCAGAAAGTTATTTATTTATGCTGATTTTCTTGGCTAATTTGCAAATGACACTACATAGAAAAATCTAAGAAGTGACTTTTTACCATATACTTTCATATAAACTAGATTAGCCTTAACATAAGTTTTAAATTTCTGGATTCCCATTTTGAAGTATTATAAACCTTCTCATCTGGAGATTGCCTAGGCACATTTTTCCAGATCCAGATGATGGGTTGCCTTCCCATTACCATCATGACTCCCCATGAAAACTGCAATGTTTTAGGAAAGATGTTTTTAAGGACATTGGTAGGCTGCCTGCCCCAACACACTGTGACAAGGACACTTAAATGTATTCATAAGAGTATCTGGCACCAACTTAAATAAGCAACCTGCTTACGGGAGAAAGATCACCTCTGTACTACTGACGAGCAAGTTCTGGTGAGATGTGAAAACATCCCCTTCCTGTTGGCACCTTCTTGTGACCCTCAAACAAGTTGGTGGCCTTGACCAAAGTGGCCCCTAATGCTGATCCTCCCTCGAGCTGTATCTCTTGTTCCTTGCACTGTTATTCCAGATCATTCAACTACATAATCTAATCTGCCGAATCAATAACTGACCAGCTCTTTCGTCACCTACTGTGTGTTTTCTTGGAAAGCTAAGGCACTCTTTTTCCTCTTCCAAAGATTCAAGGTATGTCTCAGGCACTGGATTCTTTCCAAAACACATGACCAGTCACCTTAGGAAACTTAAGACAAGTGCAATTCTATCATTTCAAAATTAAAAATGAAGAACGTTACCAAATACACCTAATATTTCAGTCTGTGGCTTCAAAGTTTTGTTAGATGGAAAAGACTTAGCTTTGTTGAATTAGCCAGTGAACAAATGTTGGCTGTTTAATCAGTTCATAAAATGACACCTCATAACACCTTTGACCTGCAATGAACATTAGCATATGTGACAGATAAACTCAGCAAGGCAGATCAATTTACGCATAAGAACCTTTGAGCTTGCCTACAGCATCTTGCCATAATCAACTCCCAGTGTTGTTGGTATATTCAACCAAAGCAATCTTAGCTGGTCAGTGAATAACAGGTAAGCAGTTGATCCTTTTCATTTTTTATGAGTGGCGATGAGACCCAGAAGTCAATCGGAAGTTTCCAAGCATATGCTATTATTCATGAAGATGACAATGTAAAAGGAAATATATGCAAGAATGACAGTGCTAATTAGACTAGGAAAGAAAAATGCTGACTCATGAACCACAAGTCCATGTGCAAGCAGACCAGTGGTCCACTTCATAAGTCTCACAATCACAAATTTTTCCATCTTTGCTTAACATGATGGAATCTGGCTTAAGCAAAATAGAGGGGAAAATAACTTTGGAAATTTGAAAAAAAAATTTTTTTTTCTTTAAACTACAAATATAAACATTATTGTTCATTTTATCCTCCACCCTGATTTGATCATCTTGAACACTAATCTCCTATTGCACTAGGGTTTCCAACCAAGAATGTCTGGGTTGGCTTGGCTATGCACCCTGCTGAGATCCAACGGGACAATCACCACTGCCTCAAGTGATGGAAGATTCTTTGCTCTCCCCGGGAGCAGAGCATTCCTTGACACAGAGCCAAAACGATGAAGAAAATAAAACTGGTCCCATAATAATATGTGGGCAGCAGGAAAGAAGCTCAGCACAAACAAGTTATCCCTCGGTCCTCCCAAACCACGCTTTGAATTCCCACAGTGGCACACGGAGTCTCCTGGCCACAAGTTACCTATCATCTTGATTTCTCCTTCTGAGAGGGTTTGTGTTTGGTTTTTGTCCTTAATGAGACATATTTGCCAAAGAGGCATTCAAAAGGCATTTTTTACTCTTGCGGAAGAGTAATTAGGTCGGTACCTCTTTCCCTGCCAGCATGAGCTGCTCTAAAGAGAACCCTGCCCAGTATTTAATGCCCAAACACAAGAAGCATCATTGCCACTAATTGGTCTTGAAGTTCCGATGTTCCCAAAGGGTCTCTTTATTTTGCAAGGATCAGAAAGGACACACGTAAAATGTAATATCGTCATCACTGACTTTTCTCTCTCTCGTCTGCAGGAATACAGTTATCCATCCTTGCTTTTTTTTTTTTTTCCAATCAACATCAACAAGACACCAACAAAGGATGTAAATAAAGGATTTACATGTTTGCCCCAGGGAGAGATCTCTGGGCCAACCTCAGTCATTGCTGCAGACTTTATCAGTATAGTCATGAGTATAAATATACAAGCACGTGAAAGTTTGGACTCCCTTGACAATGGGGTTTCTTTCTCAGTCAGTGTTCAGTGCGTAGAGAAAGGGATAATACTGCTTTAGCATGTGGGCTGTGAAACACCAAGTGAGGGGGAGAAAGAAGCCATTCATCAAGTGCAAGCTGGAAATGGAGCATATACTACTAACCTTTTCTTTTGCTTTTTCCCCTTTTCTTTTCCACAGCCTGAAAAAGGCTTCTGAACAAACTATTTCATGTGCTCACGATTCAAAAGTAAAAGCAAATGATAAAAAAAAATGGGGGTAGATGTGTGACCAAAGTTTTGCACATGCTTTTAGCTCCCCAAAGCCCTGGAAATGGCTTCATTAACTGTCAGGAAGTTTCAAATTCTTGGACATAATGACCGAGCTACATCAATGAACTTAGAAACGTGGCCAAACAATCATTAAGAACAGATTTAACCATTTCCGTTCAGAATGGCCAACTCAATCGGAGCCGGAGAGGAAGCCTCGTATTTTCAGTCTCAGCTGCCTTTGGTTCTTCTCTTTTGGACTCATACCTCAAAAATACACTGCTCAGCCCTATCATTTCCCAGGAGTTTATTCAAGGAATGCAGACACTCCGGATATGGGCTGCTTTGGACTCTTTGGGGGGCTGTTTCTCTCTTAAAAAGAGCCATTTTCCATTGTAGAAACTAGTGTCAAAAGGCTTGAGGTGAATGAAGAAGAGAAGACTGTTGAGACCCTTTCAAAACCAAAATTATACGTTCCAATGAATATGCTTTCTGTCCTGGGCAGTATTAACTGTGCACAAGCCAAACTGCTTGTCAGTATCTATACTGCCTGTTTATTTTTACAGTTCATTTAGGTAAGAGCCAGGCTCCCAGACAGGACAGTTTACCTACTGGTTGCACAGCAGTACAAGGACGCAGTGTTCAGGTGCAATGATATTGACCAGAAAACTTACATCACAAATATCTGTTACCTCAGAATCTCTCTGACAAGTCTGTAAACTCTGTTCAGTCAAAATTCTACCCAAAAATATATCTAAGCCTCTGTTATCTTCCAAAACATCTCTATAGTTTTAAAACTCATTCAATGTTTTCATGAAAACAACTATTTGTGAGTTTGCTGTAATTTTTCAGATTTATTCATTCCTGCATTGCTTTGTGTGGGGACAAAAACAGTAGGCTCACACTTCCAACTCCACTTCATCTAGAGCTTTTCCAAAGTGTCTGACAAGGAGACAATTAAAAACAACGAAATCCTGTCTAATTCTGTCATAGGTGGACACACCCCTCCGCCTCCTCCTGGAAGCCAGAAAATAATGCAAATCAGGATTGCAAAAGACTGTGACGCCATCTCCGAACCTCCCCCACCCCCCACCCCCAGGGCCTGCAAACGGCCACACCCAAAGGCTATGGCACACATGCCCACCTCATTCAGAAAGTGACTCGACCCACTAGAGATGTTCTGAGTGACCCTCAGGTGCCAGGACAATGACCATCACCCTGGCCATAACTCAAGGCACGGACAGATCCCCTTTCAGTTCAAACTTGTGGTCGCCATGCTTCCATTCATTACACGTGCATCCAATACTGTCTCTGGATGTATGGGTCCTTTGATCGCCTCTGCTCATGGCAACTATTATACAAAGCATTTAAAGCAAACATAACAATGTCAGTCATGAACTTGGTCACTCATTAGTTGAGTTGGCACATGCCAAGAAATACAGAAAAGGAATACACAGAGCTTATTGCATAAAGAAATCCCAGACGCCCATCCTTCCTAATTTCCTGAAATATGAACAACGTATTGCCACATATTGGAATACTATGCATTAGTGAAAAAAGTAAGTAGTAAAAGTTTATTAAAGAAGTATTCAGGTGCTTTTCCATATTTTCATTAATAAGCTGCTTCCTTGGAGAAACCATCTCTACTTAACACTTGTGGATGATATTAGAGTGTTCCTGGTAAGATATACATGCAGCCCAGTAAAATTCATCAGAGAAGTCTTTTTTTTTTTTTTTTGGTCAACAGTCATTCAAAAAAGTAAAAATAGACTTAGTTCAAACCATTGACAATTCCGTGTTATCTGCGAGCATGTACAGGATGTAGACAGGGAGGTTCCTAATGAATGACATACTTGATAAACTAATGGACTCCCTTACCCTTCTAGAAATTCTCCATCCCTAGAACAAATCTGAGACATTTCACATCCCACGCATGTGCTTGAGGAAATGGATCATTTCAATACTCCACTCACCTCTCCCACTCACCTCAGCACACACTCACATCAAACCTACATGAACTTAGATCACTGTAACCTGAAGCACTAATCCAAAGTCTCAGAAGGGCCTTCTCATTCACCTGTAAGACTTCTTGCTACTTACTTCTTTAGCCAAAAATGCTAACATCCTGCAGGTTACCCACAACAACAAAGAAATAAGTTGTAGTGAAACTTCCCTAAGACACAGTAGGTGGTTTATTCTCACAGATTCAATTTTTAGTGAAACAACCTCGCCCTAGATTCTGACTAGATGTTACTTCTTGGTGCACAGCTTTATTTTTCTAGGGCTTCTTGTGGAGGAGTCATTTTCTTTTCCTCTTTGCTTCCCAATTCTTTGATTCTGCCTGCCAAAAGTCCACATCCTTGTAACACCTGGCCATTCTATTTCTCCCAAACTTCCTTCCCTGGCATCACGGGCAGGGTCCCTCAGTACTAGGAGGGAAAAACCAAAACTGCCTGATTTAACACAACATCTGCTTCGAGAATTCACCCTTCCCCACCCTTGAGGGATTTCAGGCATCCCAGGGGGCAACGCGGATGAGGGGAAATTGACACAGAGCAGTGCCCAAACATTCCTCTTTGCCCCTGAAAAATCTTAGCTGAAAAGGCACAACCAGTACCTCCAAGCAGCAAAAAAAAAAAAAAAAAAAGTGGGGTGCCAACGTTTTCCATTTAGAAACAAGGATCACGTGGTCTGGTTTTGTGAGAGCAGCTCCGAGATGCAACCTCTGCAGGTAAAACAGGTGACCATGTGAGATGTGTAGGCGCACGTGACATCGGCATAGGAATGAGCTATTCCACTCTTTCTAAATTGCAATTTAGGTTACTTTTTTGTTTTTAGTGGGAGGGGACAAAAAAAAGCAAAAGTGATTTCCTTTTCAAAATAGGGATTTCTGCTAGAACTTCCTTGGACAAACTGCTATGTAGGGATGGAGGACTCAAGAGTTTGATCAAGCTTTCTGATGAGTTCAAACCCACATGAGCACAGAGCAGGAAGCACCCGTGCCTGCTTTAACCCTTACCTCCACCAAGAGTGAAGAGATTGCCACGCTCGGTCACTTTTGCTGTCACCACTGTGTTAACAAGAGAGTATTCAAGAACCTTTCTCTTCCCTTGCTTTTCAGTGCCCAGCCCCTCCATCTGTCTTTTCCAGGGTTCCTCAAACAGCCTCCCGTTCCACACGCACCACAATTCCAGTTGCTGACAAACGCAGAATCAACAGAGCAATCTCACCTCCCCTCAACATGTCTGATTATTCTCAAAATTATTCGAAGGGTTTGACTAGTCTTTACTCCAACATCACAGCACGATATTAATATTTCTTATGAGAAAGATTACTGATGTCCTCTCACACAATTATTCTGGTTTCACATCTGTCACTCTCATGATCTAACCTGAGCAACAGGTGTGGAAAGCGAACACAGACTCCCTGGTCCATAGCCACTAGGCACCGCCCAGAGAGGGATCCCAAACTTCCAATGGACTCCAGTCGCCAACGGTCCCGCCCTTGCCTGCCCCTGGTGACCCAGGGAGAAGTCCACTGGCGGGGGACTCACCTGCTTGTAGGCGTCAAGGAGGAAGCTGTTCCACACACAGCGTAGTCCCTCTGAGGTCAGCATGCGCCGCCACTCTCCGCGGGTGGACTTGGAGCGACTCAAGAGCAGCACCACGTGCTTGAGCAGAATGACCGAGTCATAGAGCGCCAGGAAGAGGCAGTTGGAGAAGAAAACTGGCAGAATTTGCAGTGTGATCAGCAGGTCTACGCTAAGGATGCCCATCTTCTCTGCCTCCTGAGCCAGCCCCGTGTGGCTCCGGTTCCCCTTCACCCTCTTATTTAAAAGGGGGGAGGTGGTAGAGGGGGTGGGGAAGGTAAGGGGGGAAGGTTGGGAGGTGGGGGAGAAGGAGAAAAAACTAAATTAAAAGGAAGCCCAGGCTGTCTCCTTTTTTCAAAGGAGCGAAATGGCAAGACCAAGTTCAGTCTCTCCAGCCCAGCAGTTGGAGTGTGCCCATCAATTCATTCAATCCCGAGCTGCTGCCTTTTTTTTTTTCAGGATTTAAGATTTAAAAAAAAAAAAAAAACTGGCGTGCCCGTCCCTAATCCAGTTACCCCTGTCAGAGTCCGTTAAAGACAGGCAGTTGTACTTTCATTTCCAAGCACCTATGAGACTGTAGCAGAGACTGCAAATTTTTCCTTTAGCTTTTCATTGTCTCTATGTTCTTTTAAACGGAGCCTGTTTCTTGGGTTGCCAGAGTTGTTAAAATGTGCTTTGAAGGTAGTTTGGTTGTTGTTCTTTCTTGACTCCGTTTTAGACACACTTTCTGTCCGCCTCCCAGCCTGACTCCTCCTGTTCCTCCTCCAGGAGCGGCTGAGTCCTCTCCTCTCTCCTTCTGGCTTTTCCTTTCTGCTATCTGTGGTGCAAAGTGTCTCTCTGCAGCCCAGTGAGTCTCCCCAAAGCCTTTTATACATTCTCTGGCTAATTGCTGCAATAGAGAAATGAAAGCCTAATCTTGGTAAAGATCTTGACGTCATTGAGAAAGAGGGCTTTACTTTGGCCAGGACTACAGTGAATAGAAAAGCAAAACTCGACAACTTTTTTTTTTTTTTTTTTTTTTTAGAAAGGGTGAGGGAGAGACTGTGGAATTTTGCTTTGTGATTTAAAGAGAAAGAAAAAATTAATGCTTTGACAGCTAGCTCTCGGGTAATGCTTCCAAACTTTGGGGAAAGTAATTTAATATACTGTGTAGACTGATGGGTTACATTCTCTCTTCTGATTATCATTATTAAATGATGAGTTTGTTATTAGCAGTATTAGTATAAGAAAAGTTCCTGGAAGACAGGTAGCAAAAAGAAAGAATATGCATAGATGATCTCTACCCCGGCTCTTATGAAACATGAATGTTTGACTTGTAATTGTCACACCTTCCTACCAAGAGTTGGTCTCTTCATCAAATACGCGACCTAGGTCCTTGAAATGTTTTTGAGTCATACTCTCACTTAAGGAAACATAGAACGAGTTGTGAGGTGGAATTTTTTAAAAAACATTTTCAGTAACATTGCCTTTCTCTAAAGTTTCTTGGAGAAATCTGATACACATTTTCTTTTTAATTTTACTGAAACTATCATTGCCAAAAACATTAAAAAAAAAAAAAAACCACTGCAGACATGAAAGGAATAGGTAACCTGACCTTTTCGCTCTATTTTGTTTTTATGCAGATAAAAATTAGAATTTCTCATTGAAGAGCATGACAAGCCATACGGCTAAGAAATGCATTATTAATAAGAGGACTCCTTTAAATTCCTTCCTTCCTCTGCTTTTGTTAGCATAACCCCTAAGAGACATGACAGGTTAGAAAATCTTCCTTTTTGCTTGAAAAATAAACTTAAGCCTGTAGTTCACTGGGAGCAGCTGGTTCCAGGTGCCCATGGACCATTGCTCAATGACTTCTCCCTTTTGTCTCTAAGACAAGTTTTCAGGCAGACCGCGCTTGGAGAGAACGCCACACCTGTCTCATTCTCGCTGCCTTACTTATCATAGATGAAGGTGGGGCAAGTACAGACACGGGTGGTAGGGTACAAAACATATCTGAAAATTAATTAGCTGAGTTTTCTGTGTGCACAGAGCCCCATTAAGGCTAAGCTAAGTAGCGGTGCAAGCTGTGTTCAGTCCGTTGCTGTATTTTGTCCTGTGGCTAAAACCTGTAGGATTAACAGACATAAAAGCCTACATCAAAAGTCCTCCACTTAGGAGGTGGGAGACACACAGGCTCCATTCCACAAATCAGTGTGCTTTGTTTGGTGGCGAGCTTTTTGCCCTTATGAGAGAAGAAATAATTGGAGAAGTTCTTTAGTTTCTGTCCGGCCGGAGCCTCTCACCCTCTTTGTTCACGCCTGTCTCCCTAGCACCTGCGATCACGCTCCCTGCAGAGGTCTGTAAGGAATGGCTGGAGAAGCCTAGGGCCTCTGTTCTACACTAGGGGGCGCCATTCTCATGCAAGAAGACCCAAGGGGTGTCCCATGGGAGGAGCTCCTCGGAGACACACCCTCCACACACCCTCCTAGTGCAAGTTCCTCATGAGGTTGGCGTGATCGATTTGGGATTGGACTATTTTTTTTTTTTTTTGAGAACTCAGAGCTTCAAGAAGGAAACATGACATCACAGAGAAAATTTTATATATATATATTATATATATATACACACATATATATACATCTTTTAAAACTGGGATTAATAAGGATATCATTATTTTTATTTATTTGAGTATATCGCTTGTCTACTACTCATATGTACATATTGATTCCATTCATTCTCTCAATTTCTCAACACTCTTCAGGGTGGAAAAAGGGACAAAGAAAGGGGTGACGACACGGTCTTCAGCAGTGTAGACGGGTGAGCTGTCATGTGGGACCGAGGCCCAGCCGACAACGGCAGAGGAATGATGCTCCCCTCACTGCCTACACCTCACGTCTCACAGCTTCTCAGTCATTCATCTTGCCCTGTTGAAATTAAGCCAACTCCTTGAGGTGAGGACCCCAGCAGTGACAAACCAGCGCTGCCTCACTCATCATTGACTTGCAAAGAGAAATGGGTTGGACAGTGCCCCGCTAAGGAGAGACCTCTGTAGGAAATCAGAAAAAGCTGTCCTTTTTATACAAAAAGTTCAAAGCGCACCTCGATTACAACTGGTGATGAATCAAAATTATGATTCTGTCGGAGCCTTTTTGTTTGTTTTTACGCTTTTTTGGTTTCCCCTTGAGGTCAGAAATGCTTGGGGGAAATAGTTATTCTCTTTAAATAGGAGTACCAATAGGCAGCTGGCCAACCCAGTAGTGTCATTTCTCAGATTTCTTCTTTCATTTGTTTTTTTCTAAATGAATGACTAGACGAATCACAAAACTGAGAGCCATTTTTCTCCCAGACAATCTGTCTGTTCATTCCAGAAATTATAGTTTTCTAAAGCTATTTTTCTTTTTATGTGCAGTCCACAGTTGCTTGTTCTAATTATGAGTGCTTTGATCCTCAAGTAATTTTATACTCATTAAGTAACAAAATAACCATACAGTGATAGAATACGATTTTTCCCATCAGACAAATGAAAGTGGATGGCCAGGGCTGTGGGGTCTGAGCTGGTGTTGGGATGTTTTCCCCAAGTCCAAGCTTTCCTTTATTCCCTAATGACTGTTCTGTGGTCCTGGCCTTACTCTGGGAGCCAAAACTTCGGAGACAAAAAGGTCTATCAGCAATTTTATCTTCCAAATTGCAAATGCTATCATGGATTTCACATCTGTTGAATGCTGCCTCCACACGAGCCACCCCCCCCCCCACGCTTTAGATTTCATAGGATGATTTTAAAAGGCTTGGGGTCATGTTAGCATTTTCAGCAATCAACATGGTAATGAATTAAATTCGAACCAGCTTGTGGCATGCTGCTTGAATTTCCTTATACAATGTTGTACATGGAATTTACATTCTAAAGAGAAGAAGCCCAGGGCAATTTGCTTTGGGCTTTTTAATAAGTGTGAAACCACTATAAAATCACTTAATTGTTCCCTCCCCCTCACCCGCCTCCCCCCACCTCATGGTAATGAAACACAGTGACCTACCACTGCCTCCTGCTGGTTGGTAAAATAAATATATGAGTGACAACTTTTCCCTAGGTCCACTTGCACTATCGCGATTCAGAAAATAATGAAGCTGGATAGCCTGAAAGTTATATGGGACATTTCAAGCATATCAGCTACCGCTACGATTTCCTTACTCTTATCTGAAGGAGCAAAAACAGCATCCAAAGAATTCTGTGACATTGACAGTTGATATCTCTCACTGACTTTCAAAACAGTCTGAACATCATACAGAGCTATTCTACAGAATCCCATGGAGTTGTCAAATATAGTTTTAAAAAATGGGATTTTATTTTTATTTCATTAAAAACTAATCAAACAAATAGAAGTATCTAGAAAAGATAGGCTTCCTGGTTTGGGGTTTGGGAACATGTTTACCCACCATAGTGCCCTGAAGTGGCACAGCATCTATCGAACAAAGAAATCACAAACTGGTTCTGTCCAAGACAGCAATTGATGAAGAGTATACACCACAACTACTGCACTGCTTAAAACTCCCCGTGGACCCATCCATTCCACAAACACAGCTCTGCTTCTTGCCATGTGACGAAAGGAGAAGTTGGATGGATAAAACACACAATCCCAGAGCAAGTGCAGACACACCTTGAGCAAGGCAGCATAGGGCTGGGAGAGGGCAGGAGGGAGTGTTGCATCCCAACAGCCTCCCTGTAGGTCCCTTAGCACCTCTGGGCCTAGAACAGGTGCATTCTTGCCTCTTGGCTGTGGCTGCTCTTTTTCGCTCCCCTCCCCTTGCTGGACATCTACTGTAAGATCTACTGAATGGCAGTCATCACCTCGTTTCTCAGAGGCCACTGCACAGCAGTAAAGAGACAACAGCCTTCGTTTGCTCTTGACCTGGCCTGGGTAGACATGGATGGCCACCTCCCTTCAATAGCAACCCACACCATATCACGTGCCAAGGGGTTCTCTGGTTTCTTGGTTTTCAGAATAATTCATTCACCTTCAGAGACAAACTTGGCGTGGGTGGGGGAGAAGGAAAGAACTGGTAGAAGAACAGAGAGGGAAGACTGTCCCGGCAAAACCTGGCACATTTCTTTAGGACAGAAAGCCCTCAGAATCAATGAAATAAATTCACCATTTCCATTCATCCCTCCTGGATCCTTGAGGCAACTGTCAAAAGAAACAAAGGGCTATGGCCAAAAATTGTCAACTTTGGGATGAGTTTTCCTTTGTT